GTGGGCCCCCTTTTCTTCCTCGTCGTCTTCGGTTTCGTCGGGGTCGTCTTTTTTTTCGCTTCTTTTTTCGCCCGCGGGGTCGTCGACGGTGGGGTGGACGCTGCTGCCGGGGCTGCACGGCGCGGAGATGCTCGAAATGACCGTCGCCGCGCTCGCGAGCGGGGTGGTTCGGCTTCTCGCCGGCGGTGCGAGGCCGTTAGGGGGGGTGGCACGTCCGTCCGTCGTCGAGGGGCTGCTCCCGGGGTTGGAAGGGCGGGTGCGGGGGGGGGGTGTGGGTGGGGGATGGATTTCTCGACCCCGCCCGCGCGGCGCGGCAGCTCGTGCGAACGGCGGAAGCCCTTGGGGTGCGTCTGTTCCGCGATGCCCCCCTCATCGCGATCGCCTACGACGACGACGAACGCGCGGCGGAAAAGGAAACGGAGGGGAAACGGGAAAGGGGGGCGGGAACGGCGCCTGGGAAGGCCCACCAGCGGTGGATTCGCGCGACGATCGTCGAAGCGGGGCGGGCGGGAAGCGGGTCCGTCGAGCTCCGCGCGCGAGGGATGATCAACTGCGGGGGGGCGTGGGTGGATGAGGTGAAGGCGTTGACGCCCGAAAACGCCTTGGATGCGGTGCCCGCCGCGTTTGAGGGGTTTTTCGTCCATTCCTACCTCGTCGCGCCGCGAGCCGCGATCCGGGCGATCCCGCGCGCACCCCCACGCGAGGAAAGCGCCTCATCCTCGTCCTCGTCCTCATCCTCGCCGGCGACCCCCCCGGCCGTTTCGTCCGCGTGGTATGCCACCCTTTGCGAGAAATGGAATCCACCCAACGGCCCGAACGACGTAGGGGGGGAGCGATGGCTCCCGGCGTTTCAGATCACCACCCCGCGCTATAGTTTTTCCCCGGTGATGGTGTTGCCGTGGTATGATCGAACGGTGCTTTTGGGGCCGAGCATCACACGCCTGCCGGGGCTCCCAAGTCGGTTTCCCCGCTCTTCTTCGTCGTCGTCGTCGAAGTCGTCTGCGTGGCTTTCTTCCTCGGAGCTGGTGGTGCACTCGACGGATAATTATCGCCAACAACTCCGGCACATCTCCGGGGCGCTCGCCGAAGCGGGGATCGCGGTGGAGCCCGCGCGCATCCTCTCCTGCGTTTCCACGATCGTGCCGATTTTAAAACCCCCTTCGGCGGTCCCTTGGGCGAAGGATTTGCTCGACCAGGGTTATCATATCTCGACTTTCCAACGCCGCCCCTCCCCCGCCCCGACGACGGCGATGGAAGGGGAGACGGGAGGTGGGGAATCCAACGCGGGGGAGGGGGGGTTTCGCCCGCCGTTCGTTCACGTTTACGGCGGATCCCCTTTGCTCGCGCGCCGGATCGCGGAGGAGGCCGTGGATGCCTTTCTCCACCACACCTCCGCGATCCCGGCGTCGATTCGGCAAACGCTCCAACGATGCCGCACGAAACAACTTCGTCTGCTCAGCGAGGAGGCGCGGATCGCAAGCGAGGGGCCGGCGAAGTCAGGCGGGGATTCCTCATCGAACCCCCCACCGCGGTGTGGTTTCTTCGAAAACGGGCATCCACCCGCGCGGGAAACGGCGGGGGATGGGGGAAGCGTGGTGTTATGGGTGAAGGGGCTTGCGCGGAGTGGGGGGGTGGAGCATTTATCGGATTTGGTGCTCCGTCGCGCGCATGTGGGGTACACGAGCCCCGCGGAGGCGCTCCGCGCGCTCCCTTTCCTCGCCAGCCTCCTGCGCGCCGAGCTGAAGTGGGGGGCGGAACGGGAAAAGGAGGAGATCGAGCTTGCCCGCACATTGATTGAGAGCGTGGCGGTGAGAACGAGCCCGAAGGAAACGCCTGGGTAGAGCAAAGTGAGCGGCGGCGATCCACCCGATGGATCGCGATATTGGATTAATTTTGTATAGCTTCTAAGGCTTATTTGGGATGATGGGGATTATTCTTGGTTGTTCTTGTTGGTTGTTGATTTCTTTGTAGGGATTGGGGTAGGTCATTTGGACGTGTTTCGCTTTCTTACTTTCATGGGTGTCAGGGTTTCCGCACTGTGGCATTTTAATATCGTGTTTTCAAAGGAAGCGATACCGAATTTGAACCCAAAGTCGGTAGGAAGGTGAAAATGATCAAATGATGCCGGGACGCCTTCTAAATCATTTCGTCTTCCTAGCACGTTTTTATGTATTGCTATACTGCTATTTTTCACTTTTCTTTTTTTCTCTTTTTCTTTATCGTAGTTTATGATGCCGAGAGGTGCGGAGTAGACATCCATCTAGTTTTCTTCCTTCGTTTTGCAACAAGGGTTTCCCTTAATTTATTCAAACCCTTCCATTTCCTGTACACTTTTTCTCCAGAGGGAAAAGGACGAGGGACTCTTAATACAGCAAACCCCAATATATAAAAATATATATTTATAGAGTGAAAGGGAGAAGATAGAACCCACCAGATCACACGGGCAAGGCTATGGAGCTGGCTCTTTTTCATAGACATTACAAGGTAAGCTACCTTACCAAAGGCCTCCCCTCGTTTGTTTTCCACGGGATTTGTCTTCTTTGCGTTCTTGTGCTGCCCTTAATAATCGGCTTCGCGATGCAGAACTTCTGGATCAAAGACAATTACCTTTTTCATACCCCCGAAGTTGAATTTAGCAACCGATGTGCGTTGCGGGTGACCACGGTTCTCGGAAAGGAGTACCTGTGGACCTGCTCGGAGAACTTCAATGAGGCGTACTTGTACGGCGATCCCATGGGGGTGATCCCCTATTTTTCCATCTATCAAGACGCAAGGGATGAAAAGGGGAGGATTAGCGAAATCACCTTTACGCTGAGCATCCCGATCAATAACCTTGGGGATATTCTTTCCGAAGCCGGCCAGGCGGCCTCATCGACGGATCCGTCCACGGATCCCGTCTTCGACGCCGTCAGCCACGTAGAATTTCTCCCGGAGTTCGTTTATCGAATCCATCATCCGCTCGTCCGGCTGAACATGACGGCCGCCCCACTGTTGCGATTTACCCGACCCCTTTTTCACTCCCCAACGGGAACGGCCTCCCCTCTCGCGTCGAATTCCGGCCCGCTTTGCGGATTCACCGAGGCGGATCTTTGGTTTCATTCAACCGTTCGTCTTCCCCGCTCGACCTCACGGAAGGAGAGGGGGCACCACGCGCTCGAACGCAGCCCTTTCGTGGAGGACGCGACGGAGCTTGCGGTGTTGTACGATCTCCCTTCCTTCGCCCGACGCTACACATCGCGAGCGCAACGCGTGGAAACGCGAATGATCACCGAAACGTCCGGTGGGCTTGGGCTTTTCGCCGGGGGTGAAACCGTGCGAGGGGTTTGGCAGGATTCCCAGCTTCTCCACGCCTTCACGTGGCGGATTCGTCTTCGGGTGCAGCCCGCGCAACTTTTTTATCGCCCTTCCTTCGCGGAGGCTCTGAAGTCGGCGTGGGTGCAGTATTTCGCGATCGCGTACGTGATTCAATGGGTGTTGTGGTGGGTGCGTGGGTTCGTGGTGGTGAATGGGGTGGTGGATACGCGAGCCGTCTTCACGCGAAGGATTCATTAAACCCCTTCGTTTGGATCCTTCGGGGTATAGAGATGGGTGTGGGGGTGGGAAAGTGATCGTCCGTGCTCCGCATCGATCGTTTGCAAAAGTGATTCGATGTGGTTGTCTACTTGGATCTATTTTAATTACACCCGGGATCTCTACATGGCAAAGGTGGCAGTTTGGTAACCGGGCAAACGACGAAAGGGGGAAAGCGTGTCGTCTCTGTTTTGCTTCTCATAGCCCTTTTTAACGCGATTCCGAGTTTATACCGTTTATTTTTTAAAGTACTCCCTTGTTTGTTGATTTGGGTATGATTGAGATTTTTCCCACGATTCACTTGTTGACTTATACATCGCTTCTATTTCTCAATACGACTAACGTAAATGATTTCCGAGGACAGTTAACTTTCTCCATTATGATAAATTTTAAAATCATTCCAACACAACATCTTTTTCCTCCTTTATATTTGTATTCACATGCAAGTGAGAAACACTCACCTTTTTTCTACACTATGGTGGCGATCACGGAGAAGGACACTCAATAAAGGTTTGCAATATATGTATATATATATCACACGCACAAATAAATATATATACTTTTAGAATGGCTATTGTGGTAGTTCAGGTCGGGCAATGTGGCAATCAACTTGGCGATGAGTTTTTCACGCAGCTTTACACCTTTTCGAAGGGAAATCGTCAACTTCCGTCGCCGTTTTTCACGCGGGATGGGATGGCGCGCTGCGTGCTCGTCGACTCCGAGCCCAAAGTCGTCCGTGGCGTCGCCGCGCGGAACCGGCATTTCATCCGTGGCGAAAACGTCGTCGAGGGGCAGTCGGGAAGGGGGAATAACTGGGGCCTCGGCTACTACGGCGTGCGAGATCCCCACCCCCACCCCGCCGACGGCATTGCGGCCGCCTCCGCCCATCCCTTTATCGCCTGTCGGAAGGATCAACGGGTCGCCGATGGCGATTTCCTCACCCGCGCGCTCCGCGCGATCCACCTGGAGGCCTGGCGCACCGCCGATTCCGCCAGCTTCGAGGCGATCCTCCTCCTGCACAGCCTCGCCGGGGGGACCGGGAGCGGGTTCGCCGCGCGGTTGGCGGAGAAGATTCGGTTTCACTTCATCGAACCCTCCGAGGCGGCCTCGGCCTCGTCGGACGAACGCGAGGAAGACGACGCCCGTCGGCGGGATGGGTTGGAGGGGATGCTGGTGGGGAAACGACGCGCGCGGTTTCTCCTCAGCCTCGCGGTCGCGCCGCAGCTCGCGGGGGAGCTCGCGACGCAAAGCCTGAACGCGACGCTCAGCCTGCACGTCTTGCATGGCTGCGTGGATGGGATTATTTTGCTACGCAACGCGGACGTCATGGTCTCGGGGGAGGTCGGGAAAAAAGGGGAACAAGGGAGGGCCCCTACGTCGTCCGCGCCGACGATCCTTCCCCCGTGCGCGACGTTTAAGGAGGCGAACGAGGTCCTCGTGGCGATGGTGTTGCCGTTGTTTTTGTACGGGGAAACGCCGGGGGGGGTGGAGGGGTTGCTTCGTCAGGTCCTTCCGCAGAGGATGGGGGAAGGGGAGGGGTGGGGGGGTGCCCCACGCGCGCGGGGTTCGCGGATTTTATCGCTTCTTCCGACGCCACAGGGGAGTTACGAGGCCTGGCGGGGCTGTGCCCGGCGCGGGCGGTTTTACGCCATCCACGGAGGAAAGACGGGGTTGCCCGGGTGCGGGCCGACGATCCCGTGGGAGGTGATTTCGTCAGCCCGCGAGAAAGCGGCGGGGAGCCCGCGGGGGCATCGCCTCGAGCGTCCTCGTCGGGAGCGCGAAAAAACGAACGAACAAACGAACGAGAAAGAGAACGCGAATGAGGGAGGAGGAGGAGGCGGGGGGGTGCGATCGACCTCGCGGTGGCGGATGGGCGGGGATCCTCGACGGCCGCGGATTTCCCCCGCCCGAAAGGGCCGTCGCGCCCTCGTCGAGGGGGATGCCGTCGGAAATGACGCATCTTCGAGCCCTTTGGCGGAATCGGATCCGGCCGATTCCCCCTTCGTTGAGGTTCCCGTTTCCATCCCGAAGGATCTTTTGAGTTATTACGTGGGGTTGAAGCGCAGCCCGGTGGCGAAGCTCGCGCGTTCCTTGGAGGGCGTCGCGGTCCTCAATCAAACCCGCGAGTTGAACGCGATGGTGCTCTTCCCGTTGCTTAGCTCCGCGGCGTTTAAGGTGAAGGTGGGGGCGTTTTTGCACATGTACGAGGCGGCCGGGGTGTCCGCGCAGCGGATCGAAAAGGCCTATCGAGAACTTGCCGAAATTCTTAGTGAATCCGAGGAGTGTTAAATAGAAGGCGGGAAAAAAAGATTGAAAGAGATTGGGTGGAAAGAGTGTCTTCCATTTTTTTTTCTTGTGGCAAGATACTAATCATATTATGGATAGGAGAACATCGGGTATTGATATTTTCTTCTTCCTCCCCCCCTTTTTTTTTGTTGACTTTCCCCTGGATATAATATAATGATGGGCCTCACATTTTGCTATTTTTAAACCCTCGACCAGAGAAAGCGACGGAACCAATCGTATTGAATAAGGTGATAGCTGAAACTAATCAAATCGAGCGCCCATCCAATGGGGTGCAAAGCTCGCTCTTTCTTCGTAGCATGCAGGGAACGAATGGGCACGATTCGATGGGCGAGCGTTGGATCCCTGTGCGTTCCTCCTTCCCAGAGGGGGGCTTTTTTCGCCCAACGCAGCACGCGCCCACTCCGACTTTTTCATATCTCACGCGCGATGCACGCGTCGTTGCAAGCCGCACGGCGAGGCCTTCACATCATCCCGACGGAACCCCTCACGAGTCGCGGCAGCCCCTTCGCCTCGAGCGTCTACACGAGTGAAATCACCGGGGAGGCGGCTTCGACGGTTCGCTATCCCGTGAAGGATTCGGAACGCGGGCTTTTCGATCGAGGCGTCTCCCCGGCGGCGAAGGAATTCATCGCCGAGGCGGAGCGGGAGTATTGGGCGAGCTCGGAATATTTACACGAGGCCCCCAGCCGCGGCGCCGGGATCCCGGAGACGGAAACGCGCGTGAATGCGAAAACCGGCGCGGTGGAAACGATCACGCGTGTCGCGAGCCCCTTTGGGGAGACCTACGTTCCCTCGAGCAAGGAGCGCTACGCGTTGCGTGGAAAGGTCGGGGAGCTTTCCTACCAACACGCCCACCCCCGTCGCGCCCTCGCCGACGAGCACGCCGAGTGGAATCTGCGAAAAGAACGGCAGTTGGAGGAGTTCTTGGTGACCTCGCCATTGCCGATGTTGCCGAAGGCGCGAGAGGTCGCGCTTTTCCTGATTTCCGACTTCTACGAGGCGGGCTTGGCGCTTCAACCGCGCAACGCCGAGGCGGTGATGATGTTGTTCTCCCGCGCGAGTCTCCAACTCCGCCTGCGAGGCGAGGAAATCGAGGAGGCGATGGCGAAGCCGTCGTTTTTACCTCACGCCAGCGCCCCCTCGTCTTCCGATTCCGCTTCCGATTCCCTTCCCTCCGTGAAGGGGAGTTGGGGGGGGGAGGATATGAATGGGATCCCTTTTCTCGCCGAGATGCGGCGTCTGTACGCGCATCAAAAAAGCTGCTTCGTCGCCCCGACCCCGGGGATGGCGGAGCAGCTGATGAGCGCCCTGAGCGCCGTTTTCGCCGCCAACCCCGCCGTTTTCCACCTCGCCGGGAGGATTTTGATCGATTGCGATAAATACGTCGTCCTCCCCACGCGATCGACCTATGCGGCGTTTTTTAATATCTGTCGGGTGAATCGCGCGATGCCGTTCGCGATCGCGCGGATGGCCGATGCGGTGCTGCGGCTGAACGTCTCCGTCGACGCCGCGATGGCGACGGCGATGCTTCGCGGGCTCAACGAGGGCGGCTACGTCGAGGAGGCCGTGGCGTTGCTCGGTCGAATCGAGCGGGTTCCCCTCACCACCCCTTTGTTGAACGCCGCGTTGGAGACGCTGTTGTTGTCATCGCAGGCGTTGAGTTGCTTTTCGGCCTTCACGGCGGTGACGGCGGCGAGGCTGCGGCCGGATGCCGACACCTACACCCTCCTCCTCCTCGCGTGCGAGAAATCCGGCGAGTGGGCGCGCGCGACGACGATTTTGGCCGACATGCAAACCCGCCGCATCAAAGGGAATGCGCAGACGCTGAATTTGCTTCTGAAAGGGCTTTTGATGGAAAAGCTGCACAGCTACGCGGTGCAGCTGCATCAGACGATGCGGGCGAAACGGGTGGAGGTGTGGCCGGCGCTGGAGGCGGCGGTGCAGCGGTTGCGCAGGGCTCCCAAGGGGAGAACGGGGACTCGGCAGGGGGGTAAAATTGAGGTGTGCGATGAAAACTCGCTTGTGACGGTGAACGATTCTCCACATCCTAAACGGGTTTAAACTCTTTTTTTTTTTTGTGTGTGTGCATGATCATTCATGCGGTTTGCCGTGAAAGATTATCTCGGGGGATTTCTTATCCCTTTTGTTGATGAATGTGACGACACGTGGAGGGGTGCATTTTTTTTTTTTTTGGCACTCTGAGCTAGCGAACGCATCATTGCCTCCACTATACTACACATACATACACACACTCATAAATGCACCTTCCCCTTTTCCTTACGGTTCTTTTGTGTTTTTATTTTCTTTATTAGGAGTTCTATTGTTGTTTACATACACTTCTTAGTTGACAATAGGCTAGCAGACCATTTTTAGTATAAATAGACAACATCAACAGGGTGGTGATTACTCGAGTAAACATGTTTTCCAAAGTTAAGGATGAATTTTCACAAGAAAATAAATACAGCTCGCAAATTGATGTAGGGGATGATTTTAATGGTGATGAGGAGCAACCCTTAGGAACGGTGTATATCTGCGCTAACTGCACGACGCACGTTACCCTCACACCGTCTTCGGCACTGTGCTGCGCCACATGCGAGCACTTGACAGGATCTTCCACCGTTTTCTATAAGGTGCGCACACAAGCAACAACCTACGATACCATTTAATACCAATCCCGTGAATACGAAAAGAAAAATGAATTGCAGTATTGGAGTGAAGAGCGAAGGGAAGGCATGCCATTTATTTCTAACCTTTATTTCTAACTTTTGCTAAAAGTGTATTGGAACGGCTGGTTCATTTAATTTCCCTCGTAAAAATCGTTGGATCTCCATATGAGGGCATAAAAAGGGGTATTGTATTGCAGGACTGACTGAGAAGCGACAAATCCTAGTGATTCCATTTGTTATTATGGCTGCTACAACTAGTCCGCTAGAACCCAACCTTACGTAATTCTTCTTTTCTTTTTTTCCCCCATTATTACTTCTGTGCGTATTGTAAACAGATTAAGGGATTTATATTTTTCACTTCAGGGCGAGAAATCAATGTCTCAGGTACGCAGGCCGGCTGGAAATACAGCCGAACAGCCCATGAGGTTGCATTGCGTGTGCTCCACCTGCTTTACACCGCAGCCCTTCCCCCAACCTGGGGTTTCTACCATGCCGTATCAATGCTCCTATTGCCGGCTGCATGGAGTTGATATGAAGATTCTCTACACGCGTCGTTCGTTTCCAACGGAGCACTCCACTCGGTAATGCGGAGACAAAGAGCGGGGGTTTTATGCATGAATATCTTATATTAACATTATTATTTGTTCGCATTTTGTGTAACAAAATAAAGGGTTCATCGGTCCATCTCAAAGGAGTATACATGATCTCAAAAAATTCCATTAAACTTCGCTGTATTTCTCCAGTTTTGGTTTAATATATATGATTACCTTGAACACATAAAGGATCATTGACCCTTTTTGAGAAAAACAAAAAAAAACCTAACGTACGGTTCGATTTACCCGATGCATGCCCTTAGGAGAGACCTTATCGAGTCCATTCACAAATCCTCCGCCCAACTTTCCGCGTGTATCTGCGGCGCAGGGTCGTCGGCGATTTCTTCGTTGACGAAGGTCGCTGGCTGCACTAAGACGCTCATTTACGCGGAGACGATTTACTCCTTCCCCGCGATCGATCGCGCCCTTGGCGGCATCCCCAAAAACGTGGTAAGCGAATCGGTTGCTCAGCAGCTCGCGCAGCGCGCTTTCCTTCATAGCCAGGTTCTTACCAAACCCGTAGGAGATGATTCCCCGGCTTCAGTCTTTTTGATGGGGGTTGGGGCGACATCGGCGGTTCAAACCAACTTCACACGCGCTACTAAGGATCGCGTGCACTTGTGTATCTGGTCAACCCATGTGAACCACCAATTAGGGGGGAAGAATGCGGACCCTTATCATGAAAAAGAGCCTCTCCACCAGGCTAATTCGCGTGTTCGTGTTCAAAACTTCTACGCAGAGCCTCCCCAGGAGTGGGATCGCTACCAACAGGATGACTATATTGAGTTGTTTATCCTTTATAATATCGCGAATGTCATCCTGGAGGAGTGCGGATCTTCTGGTGAGCTCGATTCCATTCTTCGCGTGCTGGCGTCGCCATCTTTTCTCGCGGGGCTAGGCCCTGCAACGTCATCGCCGCTTCTGCTCAGCGTGGCGCCGATTTCAAATCACAGCATCTCCGCCATCGATCCGATCACGGAGGCTCTCGAGTTTGTTCTGAACGGCAAGACGAAACGCGTTATTTTTAATGCGTTTGGTGAGATTCGCTGCGATGTGGCGCCCTACACACTCGAGGAGCACTTCAAATTGGAAGTTTCACCCACACCTTCCACGAATGCTGTGGATTTGTGCGAGCAGAAAAAAGTGGTCCGACTGGTCTATCCAGGTTCTTTTCGCCCTCTGCATTATGGCCATACCGAACTCGCGCGGGCGGCGTTACGCGCCCTCACGCGTGGGGAGCCCGAGGAGAAAGAGGGAGGCGCACGCGCACGTACGCAGGTAACGTACGAAATAGCAGTGAGTATTCTCGACAAGGGGAATGTCTCCTGTGAGGATCTAACCTCCCGTGTTCGTCAGTTTCTTCAGCATGGGGATCGTATCGCGGTAACGAACGCCTCGCGCTTTACAGAGAAGGCGCTTCTCTTTCCAGGCCATGGCTTTATCGTGGGTGTGGATACCGCCCGACGGATTCTCGATCCTCAATACTACGAGGAGTGCGATGTGGTGAAGGCCCTGCTGGAGGGCGTCGGCGAACGCGGCTGCTACTTCGTCGTTGGCGGCCGCACTGTCGCCAAGAAAGAACCCGGAAAGGAGGAGAGCTCCATGGTTTGGGAGGACTTGTATTCCCTCGAGATCCCTGAAGCTCTTCGACACCTCTTCATTGGCTTGCGGGAAAACGAATTCCATATCGATATCAGCTCGACAGAGTTGCGCGCGCGACAGGGGAAAGCGTAAGCAGTAAAGGCTAGTATGGTGTTGCCTTCCTAAAGCAAGAGGCGTGTGACTAGTGTAGAACTAGTTTAATCCGATCCAAGGTATCATATTTATATATGTTATTCCTAATTTATCAAAGTGTTCATTTACCTTCTCTATCCACGTTCTTATTGTGCCGTTTTTTGTGCTGGACACCTTAGCTACGTATATGTAGTGTGCCACTGCATCAACTCCTTTTCTTTCAACTTTGTTCCTATATATATGATCTCTTTGATTGTCTATATATATATATATAAATTAGAGTAATCACGTAATGTGAGTTTGTGCTCATTGAAACCACTAAGATTTTTTATTTTTGTTCTCTTTTTGTCTTTTTTTTGTTTCTTTTCGAGCCAGTGTGTATGAGTAGTGTCTGCATAGGCGTGAGATTCTAGATAGGCACTATCTGTCATGTTTGCCCGCAACGCAATACTACGTCGGGTCAACCGCCGAAGCAACAAGACCCCCGACTTGCGTGGTTCTTTTTCGAAGACCACCAGCTTCAGAAGAGCAGAGAAGATCAAAGTAGAAACTACTGATGGTGAGATTGTGCAAGGACGTGGTAGGATCCGCCGCCGCACCCATAGCGAACTGAAGTCCGCTATTGAATCCATGGAGCACCCTGCGATCTGGCTGTGGTACCCGTGGCGTAAGAATCCAGAGCCACCGACACCCTACATGCCCTCTCGCCGGGCTCTCAAGAACGTGCACGGTGCCATTTTTACGAATCTTACACCTATCCAGCAAAAGAAACAGGAGCAGATGCTCTACGGTGTCAACATACCCGAAACCCGCGAGATGCGCTTTGAGAAGGAACATCCCATGCTTGCCTCCGCGTTACGACAGTTAAAGGGTCAGCCAAAGGGATTCCCGTTTTGGTATCGGAAATATCCTACCCGACGACATGCCTATGAGCGACGCTTCAGCATCCCAGAAGAGATGCTGGAGGGCTATAACGAGAACATTAAGAAAGCTGTCTCCAAGGAGATGATGAGCCTTCGGGAGAAGCAATTCGCACAGGAGGCGATGTACATGGAGCGCTACGCGGAGCACGACTTCGACACCACCAGCCCCGCCGTCTTGGCAGTGAAGCGCGCGCTTAAAATGCGAATCCTACGAAACCATCTCCTCACGAATCCCCACAACAATATCATTAAGGTGGTTTTGACGAACACGGAGCGAAAGCTCGCCCACGCGCTGCGGCGCCTGCGGAAGGTGGATTTCCGGCGGTACTGGGAGATCATCCGCGATCATGACGTGCAGGACGTGCTGCAACCCGCGAACCTCGTTACCTATCGCTATGGGGTTTACTGGCGGTATGACTGGAATGCGGGGCTCGCGATCAGCACGAATCTGCCGGATGTGCTCGATCCACGCGGGTTGAACGGCTGCGTGGAGACCGGCCGCTCCCGCTCGGAGGTCGCTCGCGATCTCGGCCTCTCCTACACCCGCCCTCTGCATGAGAATGAGAAGAAACAGCTCTCCCAGCAGGCCGTCTACTACGAACGGCTCGCGAAGTTTAAGCTAGAGCAGCCCGAGGCCGCACGCGCACAGGAGCGGGAGCGATTTGTGCGCAAATTTTCTGGAATGTTCCTGAAACTGGATGTGAAATCCGGCGCGCCGGACTTCCCGAGCACCTACCGGAAGCTTTTGGGGACGAAGGTGATCCGATGGGCCTCGAAGCGGCACGGTCCGATGTAGGGTCTCCGTTTAACAGGGGGAATACTCGGAGCGAATCCAATTCAAGTGAGTACCATGCAATCCCATCTGAGGTCTAGGATGGGTTTTTTCTTCTACCCCGGCCTGTCATGACCGGTTTTATCAGCATAGGACTTGGGCCCTGCGTTGGGCAGTCGTAGGGTGATCTTGTATTCCTTATTTCTTTTTGTTGAATGTGTGCAGGGGCGGTAGAATTGATAGGATGGGGTCTTTTTTGTTGTTTGATTACGGCTATCGTGATTTTCTTGCTGGTGTTGGCATTGATAGGATGGGGGTCATTTGATTTCGGCTCCTTGTATGAGTCTGAGACCAACCATGATCAATAGTAACAAAGCTAAAGTACACCCAACAAGCGGGCGAAGGGCTGTCCAACTTGCCTTGTTGATTTTGATTGAAACACGAGACCTTATTTTTGAATATATCTGTTTCTTTCCGTGATACATTTCGAATTTTCTACTACTATTACGACTGGTGTATAATTGGTACAGAAACAACAATAGAAATAGAAAGAGGTCTGGAGAAGGTACTTTCACTAATGGGGTACACACGTGAGCGTACGAATCGACATTTCTTTGTCTCGCGTGCGAACGCGTTCTTCTCACGTCTCCCCATCGCTCGCATTCAGCGGTCCATGGCTATGGATGCTATCAAGAGGGGCTATATGAAACCGTGGAAGTACACTAAGGAGCAAATTCTTGGTTCACCTGTTACGTGTACTTTTGATTATAACCCAAGACCGGTGCGGCTTATCGGCACGGTGATGGATGCCCATACGGAGGAGACAAGCATCAAGGGTGGGCTGAAGGTTTACGCACGAAATGAGGAAACCAACATGATGCTCTGGATTCCAGCAGGAAATCCTAAGCTGAAATACGAAGTGACATCCGCGAAGGGCAGTTTTCAGCATTATTTGAACGAGCGGGATAAGTGGGATGAGGCTTGGATGACGGGACGTGCGCGTATTAAGTAGAAAGTATCAGAGAGACCTCGATGAGACGGAAATAATGTCGAAGCATGAGATTGTTATCGCAGCCGCGGTTTAGTATATGACTTCTGCATTTACTCTTTACCACCGGAAGGAAAAACGGAAGGAGATCGAGTGCTTTTGTCAAGAATCTAGAATTTTATACTTACCATTGTTTTCTTTCATTTTCTCGCTTTTCTATTGTCTTACGCATTCTTGATTTCTTTTGTAAACTCATGGGTTCCCTAAAGCTGTGCGCAAGGGGAAAATAGGCTCTTACGCACTGTAAGGATATATTAATTTGATTGGAATAATAGAAGTATCGAATATATATATATATATATTTACACAATGCCGGAGGCGACTGATATGCAGTTGATGGAGATGGATATGGTACAAGGTATGTACGATACCTATGAGTTACTTAGCACAGATCCGCCAAGCTATTCGATCCTCTTGGCTGCCAGCGCAGATGACCCTCCCGAGTTGAAAGTTACGGTGATTTACCCTAGCGAAGAATACCCCGAGTCTTCTCCATGCAGCATTACTGTTGAGAGCATTTCGAAAAAACGACGTATTCAGACGGCGAACCTCGTTAAGGAAATCGAAGCTACGTGCAGTGAAAACATCGGTGTCCATGTGGTCGCGTTGGTGTTGCAGGAAATACAAAGCTTCCTCACCAACAATGCACAGGAGGCTGAGAAAGCCGAACTAATCCGGCGCGGTGAAACATTGAATAGGATTGCGACGCAGAGTAATCCTGTCAAGCATGATCCCACGATTACAGTTGGAACGGCTGTAACGAAGGAGCTTTTCGAAGAATGGAGCCGTAAGCATCGTGCGGAGAAGGAAATGCTCTGCAGCTCAAAGGCGAAGGGGGAGCATACTAATAGTGGCGGCCCCAAGGGTGTTGCTAGTGGAGGGGCGTCAGCTAAACTTACAGGGCGACAGATGTGGGATTCAACATTACGAAACACCGATTGGCAACTCTTTGGAGATGCTGAGGATGGCGATGAGGATGTGGACTTTGAAGTTTTTGATAACTTGAACGAAGATGATTTTGACTTTGATGAAGATGAGGGGTAAGACACCGGTCTCTATGAGAGATAGACCTCCTCATTTCGACTGCTCAAGAGAAAAAGGAAGCTAGTGAGTGGGTATTCCTGAAGTTTTGTAAGTTTAACGCGCATTCCTTCTTGTTACAGCTAAGACTAAGAGTAAACAAGATATCAAGAAAACTCGACATTCACCGTCATTTCTCATAAATAAATATTTAGTGTATGAAAAGTTATGAATTATATCCCATACAACTTTATACAATCCTATTTCTTGAACTGTCACTATTTGCACTTAGGCGTATACTTTAATGGGAGAAGTACCCTCACAAAGTTTTGAAAATTAGCGAAGTAGTATATTTAGTCAACTTTCTGATCAGGGTTTATGCGGAGTGCTACGCTTGGCTGCTGTCGATGGTCTAAGCGTCATCGCTATGATCGGATACCGAGTTTATCTCGAGCCCTTTCAAAACATCAATATCGTGTGTTTAGTACTATACAGAGTGGTCATGATGTGCAAAAGGAAAGCCTTTTCAATAAAATGGGATACAAAGGTGATAAAGAGACTCAGTGCTTTCAGCGCCCCCTTAGAGACCTTGATGCGAGCTTCGTTTTGCAAGCTGAGAAGCTCCTTGACCCGGTGCATAACCTTAAGGATAGGGCGCGCCTAGAGGAATTCAAAGAAGCCTATTTGCTCCTGCGAGACGACAACTTCCGGCGCAACTATGCGAGCCACCATTGCAGCTCCAACGACGCACGGCTGCACGTCCTCCA